AACTAGAACTAAAATAGAGAAGTATGGTGTCAGTTTTTAGAGAATTTTTGCGGTCAGAAAGAAAATGGTGCATAGATTAGATGAGGAGAACATGAGGGAGAGACTTTTTTCGAGATAGCAGGAACTGCGTTGTCAAATGTGACAAACAAGGTGGTGTTCACAGAAACTTGTTGAACTTCTGAATCTATCGCGCCAGAATCGCGTTATTTTGAGAGTAGTAAACGCCAGTGATGTTGTTTGCTGAGCTCATCGATAAGACTCATCAGATGTGCTCATGGTAGAGGTGATGTGATAGAAGCACAAGTGCTAATTAATAAGACTCTGGGGCGTTTGTTATCCGTATTGTCCGCTAAGGACATCATGATCTATTTGAAAGTGAATGTTTGCCACAGTACTCGCTGAAATCTTCTCATTCCAGATGGCCTCATCTTCTCGAGACAGCTGAGCACGTTTGCGGAACGTCCTAGTCCAGTCAAACTACTTAATCGTTCTTTGTTATGTTCATCGTTTCCTCCTTTGTTTTACTCAATATCGCCATACTCGAACGCACAACCTTCTCCGTCTAGTCCAGATTTCTCAAATCTCCCAGGAGCAAGGTAGGATTTTTTGGTCTTGACCTTTCTTTCGATACAATTGATTACAGTCGTAATATTATGATAACCTTGTAGTACTTTTTTACCCACTAGGTGTAGATTTTCACACGTAGTTTTTTGTTATCGATTGCTGTGCTATTGTTCGGCTTATTATTTCCTGTTCATTTCAATTTTGAAGGCTTTTTTATCGTCGGGTTTATAGGAAACCGAAGTCCAGGCTACTGAAACCCTCACGTGTTCTAGAAATTACAAAAGAGCAGGCAAAGGAAGCGTTCAATCATTGTATAGAGGTGAGATTTTCCTCGAATTATCAATGTCGCGCTAACTAATAAGTAAAAGATGACAAAATAAGACTGATGAAGTTCGAGAAATTCTTTGCAACCTCTCCCTTTTTAAATTCTCGGCTCCTCCCTAGCCCCCTAACCCTTCGTTTTTTGCGTCACGTAACCTTTAGCGGATTGGTTTGAATGCTAATAAGGGAAGCCGAAAGTTAACTGGCCGGTGGTCGTGGAGCCCGAATATTTCCGACACTATTCCAAGTGAAACTCTTCCTGGAAGCGCTTCTCAAAACCGACGATTTTCTGAAATAACGTTTCTAAAATGATATACCTTGCTCAACTTTCATCATCTTTTTTCAGACTGTTCGAGCCAGGGATCGCGACAACTATCAGGCGATTCTGTCTATGCCAAAATCTTGTCGCCCAGAACTATTTGCGGTGAGCAGTTCTATTCACTTTTCCCCCATTTCTGTCAAATACTGCCTTGCATGATTTCAGGTGCTCGCTTTCAATGTCGAATTAGCTCTTGTGCGTGATAAAATTTCGCCGCGATCCGCTGATACAGCCGGTATGTATCGGCTGCAGTTTTGGCGTGACGCTATTGGGGCAATTTATGGAGATTCAGTGGCGCCCATACCGAGGTAACTTGTATACTTCATTTTACTTTTCTGTTTGACAGAACGCTACGGTAGAATGTATGCATCTCCTTGAAACGAAAAGAATAACGAAGTTAAGAAATGCAGTTTCTTCTTACATTAGGAACCTGACTCTAAATGAGTCGCTGTGGATTTTTGGTGGTGTTTTTGTTTCTTTACTTTTCAATACTATTAGTGCTGTGAACAACCGTCGTTTTTTCTCTGACAACGTAAATTTTCAGACAACCTGTGGCGATAGCTCTTTGTTCATTCGCACCGAACGCGTCTATGCCGCTACTGGACTCACTCATTATTGCTCGTCAAAAAACTATAGGCGATCGACCGTTTCGTTCTGTTGCAGATGCGAGTTAACATTTTTTTAGTGCTGGTCCAAATTTTATGTCTGTCTTTTAATGTGGATAATTTAGCTAGAAAGTTACGGTATCGCTACTTCTGGCGCATTAATTTGCCTTCAAGCTGATGCTCTTGCACGAGTTTCTGCTATTGAAGCTCTTCCGGAGACGGTTACCAGAGCTGCTAATGAGCTCGGTGCTGCCTACGGGGTTATCAACTTGGTTAGGTTGGTGGCTGTGATTCCGACGTTGAATTATGACGGTTGTGTANAGTTACGGTATCGCTACTTCTGGCGCATTAATTTGCCTTCAAGCTGATGCTCTTGCACGAGTTTCTGCTATTGAAGCTCTTCCGGAGACGGTTACCAAAGCTGCTAATGAGCTCGGTGCTGCCTATGGAGTCATTAACTTAGTCAGGTTGGTGGCTGTGATTCCGCCGTTGAATTATGACGGTTGTGTATCGAATGACTTTTGCAATTCAGATCGTTCCTTCCTCTACTGCAAAAAGGTGTTGTTTTGTTACCTGAAGACCTCATGACGATACACAACTTAACACCAGATAAAGTGTACAACCGTAAAAACCCTGATGCTGTGATGCAGCTTGTGAAGGATCTGGTTAAGGTCGGCTGTTCCTCGCTCCTTTAAAAAACTCAGTTTTGTGTCTATACGATTTTTATTTGATGTCGGGCTTCTTGAAGATTACTTCTAGCTTTTTTCATCGACCTGCAAAAGTCTTTGACGTAAGAGTCCTCTTTTATCCGATCAGCCGCTATCATTAGCGCAAGGGGTGTTCGTCCGAGAACTGGAACTTTCTATATGTTATTTCTTTGACAAGTTGCGCCATCCAGTTCCAAAGTCTCTGCTATTCTCAGGCTAAATAAGGAAAGTTTAAGAAGGCCGAGAGTTTTATGTAACAGTAATTGTTTGGGTTCCTGAATTAAGCATGAGATTGCATATAGCTTATACATTTCCTGGTTGGGTCATATGATCCGCTCCGTTGAATAGGTTCGCCTTTACGATTTCATGGCTTTGTCGCATTGTTTCTCACTTCTCATGTAAAAGGGTAACAGCGTGAAAATGTAGAATACGCACTTCGATGTGTATCATTATTTTGGCATATTTCAGGTAGCATCAGCTCACATGGTTGCTTCTAAACAATTGTTACCCTCCGTTCCGCGTCCTCTTCGCAAGGCGCTTGCTCCGACCTCCTCTGTGGTGGAATATCTCATACGAAATACAAGCAAGGTACGTTTGCCTGTGGAACTGCTTTGAAACAAGGGAGTTTCTAGTAACACTTTTTTTCGGCGTTGCTCAATCCCGTCTCGTTTCCCCAGGCATTCGATCTCCTTCCACAGCCATAGTGCCATATAAATGCATATTTGGCCCTATAAGGGCCCCGCTGATGTAACTATCAGTGCCTTTATCCTTGCAGACGGATCTGGGGTGAAAGGCTAGGACGGCTCAGATTTGTACCGGTCTGTGAGGTCTAATAATTGATCTTTTCATCATAATTGTGATAGCCGTCACTTGGCACCAATCCCCCTCCTCCTGCGATAAATTAACGGGCTGAACAAGAGATTCTGGGCTTTGTAGCAGTAGATACCAGCTTTCCATCAGTTTCATTGTCAGGAGCTAGCATGGGCACGCGCTTTGACGTATTCAAGCTAATTATTGGTACTTTAGTTCAATCATGACCCATACGACAGTCGCTTGCAAAGAAGAGATCCATTTCTGATGTGGAAACTAGTGATAAAAAATATTCTGGGTAGATATTGAAGGTTTGAGGTTTGAGTAGCCTTTCTTGTGTGTTCGTTCTGTTGGGCTTTAAGCTTATGGATTAGTTTGTTTTGAACCTCTTACTATGCTTATTTATTGAGGGCTCAATCAGTTTAATACAGGACAGAAATATGTATGTACCCCTCACATTATTCAAACGTTTCGTTGAAATGTTTTTTTTTTCGTGTAGATTTGAGCTTAGTTAGTTGTGAACATTACTAAGAGGCTTTTTTGACTTTCGTTGTTTTACAGAGTTAACAGGGTTTATGCTTGGTCATGGGGGATTCCGAAACTCCTTCTAGATTAGCATAAACGTTTTTCAGTACTACGGTTCTGACAGTTACACAGGCTTTCAACAAATTTTCAGCATTTTCAAGATTTTTATGTTGGTAATAAGCACCTAAGGTCCCTTTAGTAACGACAACAAACAGAAGTTGTTTTCGGTTCTGATCATAATGGTATGTGTCGATTTATAATTACAATTACAATAAGGCAGTATGAGTAGCTTTGAACTACACCGCGACTTAGGAATATTTATTTCACTCGTAGTAGTGGGAAAAATAGTTTTAAAAAAACTATATATAATATTATTAGCCATTAATAAATGATCCGATTGCGTTGGTTGCTCCGTTTCCTCCGAATATCTGACCAAATAATTTGAATAAGTCGTTACTTCTTGGCACGGCCACTCCGGGTATGATGGGTACTGTAAAAATAGTTGGAAGTGAGATGAAACCAAGTATCTTCCAGAAACCTGTAGCACCGTAGTGCGGGGGACAAGTTCACAGAGCGCACTTCAAAGCAATGGCATTTTCGTGCGCTGGAGCCCATTGCTATTGGTCAAATGCCGAACTACGCGCGAGCTACGGTGGCTGGTTGGCAATCCACCAATAAGTTATGCTTTGGGCTAGTCCATTTCTGTTTTCGCAGTGCAATCAACGAGCTCACTGCTCCTGAGAGTAATTTTCCTTCTAATTCCTTTGGCTCCCACTTTCAAAATTTTCCGTTTAGATGTACCTTAGAAAGTGGGACTATTTTTTGATAGTTTCCATTGTAAGAGTGGAAATGAAGCTAAACTAACTGTTCGGTTGAGGTGTTGTAGTAGGTGGAGGTGGAAGTGCCTGACATTTGTCTCCTTTCTGTTCGAATCCACAGCGGCACATACAACGACCTCGATAGCAGCCGGAATTCTGGGGGCACTGCCGTTGGACGAAGCAGAGACTACCCAGACCACCAGGCTATAAAAACGGTTATAGGAAGGTGATCTTGATGAAGAAAGTGGAAGCCCGACCTTCATACAGGATGTATCCTTGCTGAGTGCTTCCGTTTCACAATCACGTGAACAACTTTGAGATGGGTTTTTCATTGGATGAGTTAAGGTGTCGACAGTGGGATGGAATCCAGCAAAGCACTGGCATTGGCCCTAAAATTGAGCTCTTTAGGATCATAGGCTTTTCCAATTCAGGTTCCGTGACTGTTCGCATGAGCAATGTTGTCAGTTGATTAAATTTGGCCTTCAAAATCGAAATCCAGAGAGGTATATCTACGAGCATCACTTTTCGGACTAGAGGTCAACCATGCCGAATTAGCCTCCCATTTCTCCATGCCTAGAAATGGTCACCAGATTCGTCTGGGACGTTGCAGTACGAGTCCCAGAATCATTATAGTTTCTAATTCCCAATAAGTGACTAAGTGGAGAAAATGAGAAAGTAATGTCGGAAGGTGACGCCTTTTTGGAAGAGATTTTTGGAGGTAATAGGGTGCTAACCTATGAATGTATGAGACCCCTCCATCAGTCGGTCAGTTCCGGATGGGCCACGTATTCAAGTTCTATCATTAGGCGGAGCGTAGCTTAGTTATATTATCTCTTTAGTCGAATACAGAATCACTTCACTACTCACGGAGAGACACAGAGGTTGGTGGATCGGATAGGGCTTTATCCACTGATTTGCTATATTATATTGACCATTCATCAAAGGCTCACCTACAGCTCTGAAGCGTTAAGGGGTCAGAAAAACAAAGAAAAGTTGTTTGGGAAAATTTTAAGGATTGCTGTAGATTGAAGGAGATGAAGACATCCGAATAGTTTAGCAGACCCTGCAATGACCCGGGGTCAACGCTAGGGAGAAGGTAATAAGGGGGATTTGTAGGCTTCAAATTGGCGAACGAATAACTTATGCTATGGACTTACCTTAACACACTCCATGCCTTCTCCACCACCACACTGGGCGTTGGTAGTACATGCGGAATTGAGCTGTCCACGTGGAATGCACTTAAAAGTGTTGAATTTTCAAAAGAAACATCATGAATCCTGGGTTTTGCCCCGTCGGAGTAATTTGTACCTCATTGTTGGCATAAAGTGCGTTCGGAGCTAAGGCATTGCATGGTCGTCGACAACATACTGCCTGGGAGACGAGGCCATCTGAAATATCGAGTTGATACCTCAAGTGAACATAACTAGAGTTAGGGTTAGATCATAGAATCCTCCAGACAAGGAGACTTCATTATTCATTTGTTCAAAAAGGGATCGTATTTCCAAAAACTGGATTTTTCATATG